CGACCTGAGTTACATCCCTGGTGTCTCCATCAGAGATTTTGAGGTAGAAGTTGCTGACCTGGAGGCCTCAGACATGTGAATGAATAAGTTCAAGTCACTGAATGAAGATTTGGAAAGACTTGCACGACAGCAAGCAGAGCTGGCGAGCAAACACAAGTGGACAGAAATGAAAAAACTTCAACCCGCAGACCAGCTGATTGTCAAAACTTGGAACACGCTTCCTGTCACATACCACACACTGCAGCGTATGAGTATTGCCATATTGACTATGTTTGGCTCTACGTATGCATGTGAACAGTCGTTCTCACATCTAAAAAACATCAAGACCAACCTACGATCACATTTAACGGATGGAAGCCTCAACGCCTGCATGAAGCTTAACCTCACCACGTATCAACCAGACTACAAAGCCATCAGCAAAACCATGTAAGACCAGAAGTCGCATTAATGGTAAGAAGTATTTCATTTATTATTGGTTAGCTTCAGTATAACAATGCTATTAAAAAGAATAAATTCAGAGACTTATTCTACTCTAAAATAGTTGGTCTTACTTAAAAATGCATGCATTTAGTTGTATTCAGTGTTAAAAAATATTGTATGGCTCTCACGGAAATACATTTTAAAATATGTGGCTTTCATGGCTCTCTCAGCCAAAAAGGTTCCCATCCCCTGCCATAGAGAATCTATGGGGTATTGTCAAGAGGAAAATGAGAGACCAAAAAAATGCAGATGAGCTGAAGGCCACTGTCAAAGAAACCTGGGCTTCCATACCACCTCAGCAGTACCACAGACTGATCAACTCCATGCCACGCCGAATTGAGGCAGTACTTAAAGCAAAAGGAGCCCCTACCAAGTATTGAGTACATATACAGTAAATGAACATACTTTCCAGAAGGCCAACAATTCATTAAAAATGTATATTTTTAATAGGTCTTATGAGGTATTCTAATTTATTGAGATAGTGAAATGGTGGGTTTTTGTTAAATGTGGGCCAAAATCATCACAATTAAAAGACCCAACAGCTTAAAACTACTTCAGTCTATGTGTACTGAATTTATATAATACACAAGTTTCACTATTTGAGTTGAATTACTGAAATAAATGGACTTTTCCATGATATTCTAATTTACTGAGATGCACCTGTACTGAGTCAAATCCCTGATTAGTGACAGCTGCCCATTCATCGTCAGTCTGAGTGCTGTGGCTAATCACACCCCCTGTGTGAGACAGGAACTGAAGGAGTCTAGAGAGGCACCAGCCCACAGCTGGGGAAAGATCTACTCTATACAGTGACAGCTGGGCGAGAGCCAGACAGTGATGACAGAGACTGAACTACGCTCAAAGTTATAATTTTAAGGCAAAACATAATAATTTAGAATTAGTTCTGCCATTTTCAGAGTTGTGGGTGCTCATTATCTGACCAAGCTAGCTCTGTTAGCAGGCAGCTACATCTCGTTTGGAGCACAGTAGTCTGTAGGTGAGGACGGTGGTGTTCCAGATGCACATTATAGCTGAGTTTCCACTGTTGGAAGCTAACGAGCAATACGCTTTCCTTAACCATCACCTGGCATAACCTCACGGGCTGACATGGACCATCCTTTTTGCTTTTCCACTATATTTTTCTCTGTCTCTTGTTTAGAGGAAAGAGGGACTGTACTTCTTTCACCCACAGACAGGGAGAACAGACAGACACTGTCTCATTCACACTGAAAAAACTGTGTGCTAAAGGATGACACTATTTCTTTAAGGGCTACAGACACTGACGGCGTTTCATGGTGTCATGTGGCACGTGTCACACGCTGCAAGTGTGTTTGTTTGGCCTGAAGTTCAGGCACATTTGACCTGTGCAGGGCTGCTGCTATTTGATATGTCTTTTAACAAAGATGAGTGAGGATAGCAAATGTAAAAAGGTTGGCAATGAAAACACGCCATTCAATGCAAAATGGACAGATAAATTTGTCTTTAAGTGCACTCTCTGTGTGCTGTCTAGTTGTAAATGAAAACAGACTGAATGAATTATCAAAAAAATAAAAAGAAGACACTAACATTCTAATTATTTCCCACATGAACAATGATAGTTTTGAAACATTTCAATCTGATCACTGATCAATGCATCTGCTCTCCACCAAAACCCTACGCACAACTTGTAAGTGCTGCCTGACAAGAATATACAGAACAGAGAATCCTTATCAGAGGTGAGTGGTGTATAATGAGTGGCATACCGAGTCATCAATAGCGTACGTATTGATGAGGTGAGCCAGCAGATTACAAATCCACAGGGAAAGCACATCACCAAGCAGGCGAGGAATCAAGCCACTGGGGGGGGAAAAAAAAATAACATTATGCCTGCAATACTGGATTTAATATTACACCATAGTAAAAAATAAAACTACATCTCAAGATTTTAATCCAGTTTACCACTGAAGAAATCAAAACTACTAATTAACACATATGGAATTATGTAATAAACAACAGAAGTGTAAACAAAGAGTAAACATGTTTTAAATCCATCCAAGTCGCCACCTGTTGCCTTGATAAAAGCCTTTTGCTCTCTTGGCATTCTCTCAACCAGCTTCATGAGGTGGTTATATTATCTGAAATCCTATCTTGGTACTTCCGGGTTGCAAGGGAGTGCAGACGTTTACTGCTCCTGTCAGTTCTACGATTTTTCACATCTTCTACATTTTCAAGTCTTTGAACAAATTCTACAACTATTAAAAAGCCTCCAAGAGGGAAAAGAGCTAATAAATCAGAAGTGAACGAGGAGGTTGAGGCAGAAGAGGATTATATTTCAGCGGCGCAAGTAACAGAGATGTTGAGTCAGCAGAAGCAGATGTACACCGCACTGTTGAGCCAACAACAAGACAACTTCAAAGGTTTTGTGCAACTACTTATGGAGACAAATAACAAGAGACTCGACGACATGACCAGAGAAATACAGGAGATAAAAACGAGTTTGCAGTTTACCCAGCGAGATGTGGATGTGATTAAAGCAGCCATGGGTGAACAGAAAATACAAACCAAGGAAACAAGGGATGATGTCTACAAAACTTGTGAGAGTCTAATAGCCATAACGGATAAAATGGAGCATTTGGAAGCACAGTCCAAGCGAAAAAACCTGATCTTCGAGGGAATCAAGGAGTCAGCTGGAGAAAGCTGGACGGAAGCAGAATGTAAGGTGAAGGAAATATTAAAGAAGAAACTGCAAATTCATCAAGAAATTGAGATGGAGCGAGCTCACAGAGTCGGGAAACCTTCTGAGCGGGGGCCGAGGGCGGTGATGGTAAAGTTGATGAAAGAGAAAGATAAGGCACACATACTGCAACAAGCAAAGAAGCTTAAAGGACCTAATATTTATATAAATGAAGATTACACCGAGTCTGTGAGGAAGAGAAGAAGGGAGTTGATGCCGAGGTTAAGGGAGGCCAGGGCGAAGGGAGACATCGCGTTCCTG